CCCTCCTCCTCCTCCTCCTTCCCGCCACCTCTGCGACGTCCCTGGCCCCGCTGCCCCCTCTCCAGGACACATCCACTTCCCCCTTCCTCCCTCGCAGGCGCGATAGTAATCGTGATGGTCGTAGTTGTTGTGGCAGTAGCAGCAGGAAGCTGAACTCCCTCCGCCCCCCTCCTGCTTTCCTCACCTCCTCCCCTGCTACGCCCGCTGCCCGCCTAGCCACCTGGGAATCATGCCCCCCTTCCCCGACGCGTCCCTCTCCGAGGGGCTTCTGCCAACCACTTCGGCTCTTGCCCGCTCGACCGCCATCCTGTCCCTCCCCCTCGCCTCTCCCTCGCCGTCTGCGTTTCGCCCCCACCCCCCCTCACCCGTCTCCTCCCTGCCTTGCACACCCTCTCCTCATCCCTCATCCGCCTTCCTTATATTTCTCACCCCTCACTCCCCACCTAACCGTTTCACCTCCTCCTCCCCCTCCCCCTCCAAGTCCTCCTTATCCTCCTTCCCCTGCACCTCCAACACCCTGGCTTTTCCGATGGGGGCTGCGAGGGGGCCTGTGTGGTGATCTTACCGGCACGAGCGACTAGCAAAGTTGCAGCCATACTGGCAGTGCCGCCCAATGATAGTGAGTTGTCAGTCAGAGGCCTGAACTTCTCGTCGCCTAGGGATTTGCTTGTTTGCTTGCTTCCCCTGCATGTCCTCCCCTCTCCTCCTCCTCCGCCTCCTCCTCTATCCTCTCCTCCTCCTCATCCTCCTCCTCATCATCATCACTCTCTCGCTCGCCCTCTGCCCCTCGTCTACCTGACACCTGACCTGAACTGGTCGCTCTCGGGCGGGGGGAGGCCTGCTCGATGGCCAGCAAGTCGCTGGGCCTGCGGAAGAGGACAAGCAGCAAGAAGAAGCAGTGGGGGGGGCAGAAGGAGGACTGGCGCAGCCAAAGGCCACATACCGCCGATGCTGCAATGGAAGCCCCGCCCCAGGTCTCATCCGTGTGAGTCCGCAACGGCGACAAACATTAACAAAGGCTCGCAACACTGAGGCAAGAACGAAAATGGCAAAAGCACATGTGCTCCAACCGTGAACCCCGAGGAACTTCCCAGCTTCAGAATCTGCATTGCTGACGGTCTCTAGCGATCTGACAGGCTCTACTTACCGAGACGTCTGGTCGTGCAACGAAGAAGGCCTCCGTGTAAGGATGGGTGAAGGGGGGAGAGGGAGGGAAGCGAGAAACAACAACAACAACAACAACAACAACAACAACAACAACAACAACAACAACAACAACAACAACGACAACGACAACGACAACGACAACGACAACGACCACGACAACGACAACGACAACGACAACGACAACGACAACAACAACAACAACAACGACAACAGCAACAACAACAACAACAACAGCAACAACAACGCAACAACAACAACAACAACAGCAACAACAACATCAACAACAACAGCAACAATCAATTTAAGAATGTTCGCTTTCATCTGCTCGAGTGCCGTTCAACGCGTATTTCCCAAACTCTCGAGACCCGCCCTCTTCGTCTTCGATCGTATCCCCCCTTGGGGGGTATATCTTTCTTCCCCGCAGGCTGGGCCCCGGCACGCGGCGGGGCGGCCGCGGACCGTCGGACGGGCCAGCGGCAGCGCTGACCGGCGGCAGCCCGACCCCAAGAGGGACGGACAGGGGACCGACCACGACGACGGCGACGACGACGACGACGACGACGACGACGACGACGACGGCGACGACGAGCGAAAGCGAGAGCGAGAGCGGGGCCATGAAGGGCAGTGATGGGGCCACGAAGGGCACCAAGGGGGCCACGAACGGCGACAGCGGGGCCACGAAGGGCATGCGCACGGGGCCACGAAAGGCGCGAACGATCGGGGGCCACGAAGGGCAGATAATGCGGGACCACAAATGGCAACGACGGGGCCGCTGGGGGCAACAACGGGGCCACGTAACGCAGCGAAAGGGCCACAAAGGGCGACAGCGGGGCCACGAAGGGCATGCATATAGGGCCACGACGGGCGCGAACAAGCGGGGGCCACGAAAGGACGTATACAGGGCCGCAGAGGGCAAGGACGGGGCCACTGAAGGCAACAACGGGACCACGAAGGGCAGAAACGGGGCCACGAGGGGCTGCAACAGGGCCACGAAGGGCAGCGAGGGGGCCACGAAGGGCTGCAACCGGGCCGCGAAGGGCAGCGAGGGGGCCACGAAGGGCTGCAACGGGGCCACGAAGGCAAGCGAGATCTCGATTCTAAGTAAGGTGTGAGGGAGTCCTGCTCGTGAGCGCGACTCCAAGGTGCCTGAATGTCGAGAGCACGGCGCTTGAGTAGATTGCAGGGTTTCCAACGCAAGAGTTCGATTCTTAAGTAAATTGCAAGCAGGTTTCCAGCGTGAGCGCGACTCCAGAACGCCGAGAGAACACGTCCTGAATAATTCGCAAGGAAATCACAAGCGAGAGCGCGACTCCTGCGTAAAATGCAAGGAAGTCTCAGGCGGGAGTGGGGGTCCAGGCTAAATTGCGAGGAAGTCTCAGGCGGGGGCCGTCGTTGTTTTAATCCTGGGACCAGGGGCGCAGTTTGAGTCTAGTGGTTTTCCCTGATAAAGAACAGGGTACGAGCCCCTGGGGAAGCACTTCGATTGAAAACACACAATGGTCACCAGAGGGGGGGGATCAACAATAGTTATTCAATAATGAAAATTCAACGACGACAACAACAACAATAAGTTTAATACTGTTAGCTCTTATCTGCTCGCGCGTCATTCAATATGCATATCCCAAACCCTGGATGCCCGCCCTCTTCGTCTTCGATGGCGCCCCTTCCGGGGGGCATATTCATTCCCTGCCGCGCGTGGTTGGTGAAGCCCTTGAAAACGAATATAAACCGATAGCGGGGGGGAACGAGGACGAAGGGATCGGAGGAAGGGAGGGGGGGGCAATGAAGAGGGAGGACGATGATTTGCGCTGCGAGTGGCGATTCAGCTTGCGCCATCCACTCCAACACAGGTTAACAATAAGTTTCGCCATGGGTCGCGCCATAAACAACGCCACGCACCATCCCTTTGAAAGAACACATCGTGGATACCCCCACGGGGGGGGCGCACAGCTGCGAACTGGCGTTAGAAACAAATTTCGTGGAAGCCTGAAAAGAAGCGGGATGTTGGGAGAGTGGGGCGGAAGGGTAGTGAGAACTGCAACCGCGTCGAGAGGAGCGCGGGGACGTGGAGTGGATTGGGATGGAGTGGACAAGAGTAGAGTCTCAGGAGGAGGAGCGGCAAGGAGCGGAGAAGAAGAGCCGGGAGGAGTGCGGAGGAGCGGGGGGCGCACGGTGGAATCTGGAGGAAGGACTGGGCATAATTCGGGAGAAATGCGGAATGCGAGCGGGAAGGGGTGGAGATTGTTGGGGTGGGATGGGGTGGCCTGGGGAGGAGTGGGCGGAATGCGAAGAAATGAGGATTAGCACAATGAAGTACGAACGACCTGAAAATGAAGATAAAGGGAAAGAGTAGAGAAGACGGGGAAAGAACGTTGAAAAGTGGGGACAGGTGGATACGAGCGGAGACTGGTGCGGAAACAAGGCGCGGGGGGATTGGAAGGCACCCGAAAGCCTCCTATGACCTCTGGGGGGCCTCGGAATGACCCCGATGACCACCGAGCATTTCCAGAGGCTCTGGAAACATGTGGGGACGCCCCGTGGGCCTCGTCGAAGGAGGCCTTCATTCGAAGCCTGCAGAAGAACCTGGGCCAGTGGAACACGCGCGCCCCGAAGGCCGGCAAACCAGGCCCCGGCAAGCGGCGGACCGTCGGCCTGGCCAGTGGCAACGCTGGCGATGCACACACCGACCCGCGGCAACCCGGCCCCAAGATGGACAGACAACGGGCTCACCACGACGACGACGACGACCACGACGACAGCAGGGAGGAGGAGGAAGAGGAGGAAGGAGGAGGAGGAGGAGGAGGAGGATGAGGAGGAGGAGGAGGAGGAGGAGGAGGAGGGAGGGAGGGAAAGAGGAAAGGAGCGAGGAAGGGAAGGAGGACAGGGAGGAAAGGAAGGAGAAGGAGGAAGGGAGCAGTGACGGGGCCGCTGAGGGCAGAAACGGGGCCACGAAGGGCAGAGAGGGGGCCACTAAGGGCGACAGCGGGGTCACGAAGGGCATGCATATGGGGCCACGACGGGCGCGAACGAGCGGGGGCGACGAAGGGCATTCGCATATGGGGCCACAAAGGGCGACAGCGGGGCCACTGAGGGCAGCAAAGAGGCCACGAAGGGCAGCGAGAGGGCCACGAAGGGCGACAGCGGGGCTACGAAGGGCATGCGTATGGGGCCACGACGGGCGACTGCGAGCGGGGGCCACGAAGAGCATATAATGCGGGGCCACACTGGGCAGCGACGGGGCCACTGATGGCAGCAACGGGGCCACGAAGGGCAACGAACGAAGGCGACCGCGGAACCAGTACGGGCAGCGAGGGGCATCGAAGGCGGGCGAAGGGCAGCGAGCGGCGACTGCAGTCCCTAACGGACTGGTCGGGCGGGCAGGCCCAGACGGGCGGGTCGAGCGGGCGGGTCGTTGAAGCATAAATTCTGCTTGAACTGCCAGGCAATATGTAGCGGGAGCGCGATTCCTGAGTGTCGAGGTCCAGCATCTGAATAAATTGTGTGGGAGTATCAGGCGGGAGCCGCGATTCCGCTGTAATTTGGAAGTCCCCAGCGAGAGCGCGATTCTTCAATAAATTGTGTGGAAATAGCAAACGGGAGCCGCGATCCGGCTGTAAATTGCAAGGAAGTCCAAAGCGAGAGCGCGATTCTTCAATAAATTGTGAGGAAAGATCGAAGGATCAGGCGGGAGCCGTTATTGTTGTAAACCGGGGGCCAACGACACAGTTTGACTCTCAAAACTTTCCCTGATAAAAGACAGGGTGCGAGCCCCGGAAAGGGCACTTCAATCGAAAAAGACAATGTGCACCGGACGGGGGGGATCAACAATAATGATTCTTCAGAAATGAGAACTCAACAACAGCAACAGCAAGAGCAACAGCAACAGCAGCAGCAACAACAACAAAACGGGGAAGAGAGGCAGGAGGGGGAAGGGGGAGAAAATAGGGACAGAACAAAAAAACCTGAAGAGGCGGAAGAGGCGGATGAGGAGGGCGCACTCTGTGCCGATGTGCTACACGTGTTGCAACACGGCGCAGATCCATTGCCAGGGTGCGACGAATGACAAGACCGCTCCCGTTGCGATCGTCGATCGTCAATCTTCGTTATGTCACACAGCTTGCTGCTGCAGTTCGGCAGAGCCAATCAGCACTCGTCGCGCACAGCGTAGTGGAATCAGGAGGAGGGCGAGCAGGATGAAATGCTATTGTGCTGTGTGTGCGCGTGTGTGAGTGTGTGTGTGTGTGTGATAGCCCTCCGCCCTGGGACAGATGACAAAATACTCTCGGACGCACCTGTGGGGAGCAAGGAACCCACCATCCACGACCGTTTGCCGACCACAACCGCTAGTCTTGCAAGCCGCTGTGGCCCGCGCGGACGCCAACCCCTTCTGCCTCCTCTAACACCTCTTCCCACTCCAACTCCTCCTCCTCCTCCTCCTCATCATCATCATCATCATCATCAGCATCATCGTCATCATCATCACCACCACCACCATCATCATCATCATCATCATCATCATCATCCTCCTCGTCATCATCATCACCATCGTCATCATCAATATATTACCATCAGAAGCAGCATCAGCATTAGCATCATCATCACGATGACCGCCAATACCACCACCACCACCACCACGCCAACCACCATCATCATCATCATCATCATCAGCAGCAGCATCATCAGCATCAGCAACAGCAAC